AGAGATGTACCGATCCGATCACGTGATCGGGGATCGGAGCCGATCACGTGATTTTCAAAAGATCGGAATCGGGAGAAAAAAATCGGGGATCGGGATTTTAAATTTTTTTTTTAAAAATACTTTTTTTTTAAATTTTGTATTCAATGTTACAAAACAAAAATGACCATGTTCAAGTCTTAAAGTCATCCTGAGGCCTTTAGTTTTGGTTTCAAATTACACAACATCATATGTGTTGCTTCTTTGGGGCTTGTTTTCATAGACCTGGTTGCTTATTTCTCTCAAATCTGGCAACAGAGTGGGCAGGGCGCAGTGTCTAATTGTAGCAGTAAGCTAACGAGTACTGATAAGCTTTATTTTGTTTTGATCCAATGCTGCACAACTGAACTGATCCAATGCTGCTGTGAAAGAAAGAAGCTATATCCATGTTGGATAGAATATCCAATTTAAATAAAAAAATAACCTTAAGGGACAACTTGAATGCTTTTTTTCTTTTTTTTCTCTTAATGCATTGCATAAAGATCGGATCGGGATAAATCGGTATCGGCAAATTGTCAAAATCAAATGATCGGAATCGGATCGGGAGCAAAAAAAGGTGATCGGGACATCCCTAGTTTAGATTGTAATTTACTATTTGACAGAGAATAACACTGCCCACAGCCTGGACATTTTCTCGTTGTAAATGCTGTTATAGCAGGATAAAGAAATACAGATACTAATCTATTCTGTGGCCATTTAACTTTGTTTTGCAATCCCTCTGTCTACAGGGCGATAGATTTCTGTCGAGTATAATAGCATCCTTGAGCAAAGAGGTGTTTCTGTGTTTGACTTTGAGCTTCTTTCTCCACCAGAGGGCAGCAACACTCAGAAAAAAAAGAACAACTATTTTTGGTTTTCTTCACATTTTGGAACAGCCCATCCCTCAATTACTTTTATTATTAACAGTACTCACAGACGCATTAATGTAACTGTATATACTTTATACAAATAGTTTGATAAAAGCCTTAAAGGAAATGTTAATTTGTTCATGTTTTGCCATTCTCTTTTTGAATAAACACCACAATGCACAGGCCATTACTAGTCCATGTTAGTAACCACTTAGTCATAGGTGATTTCCTTTTTCTTTTCTGTGTTTAATGACAATACTGTGTGCCCTCATTTTCTAGAAGGGCTTTTGAAAGGATGCTGAAGACATTTTGGTCCCTGAACTTCTCATTTCTGGCAGCCCTCTCGTCCGTGTTCATTATCTGCTCTTACAGCTTTGACTCCAGTACAGCAATTACATCCTCGGCTCTGCTGATTAATCCAACATGGAGGCATTTCTCAAAATGGTTTTGAAAAGACATTTCCAAACACTTACCAGGGAGTAGCTGTGGCACGGCTTGTTTATGCTGATAGTCAGACCACAGCCAGTCTTATTGCAATAAGATGTTTTCAATAGCTGCTTAAGTGTTCTCTTAACCTCTAGTGCAGGAAACAATGGACTGCTAGGAAAGTGATTAATTTGCTCTATTTTACTCCTGACATAAAATGGAGGTCTGCCTGATGTCATGTTTGGGTAATGTACGTCTCTCTATTGTAAAACAAATTCCCTCTATGGCCATTCGTTAATACGTCTCCACTGCTCTCTGCTTAACTGCTTAACCTTCCATTCTCTCCTGACAATCACATAATCAATCACTGCCCCATTACTTGACAAGGCAGACAAAGGGAGTGTATGAGTGAGAAAAAAAACCTTTCGGCCTGTCTCGACAAGCAAGAGGAATGTCAACTTCAGAGGGCTAACACAGGCAGAAAACATAGGCCCAGTAAATATTCAATTTAAAGAATTTCCTGATAAGGCGAGTTGAAAAATTGAGGCAGCACCCATTCTTCTAGATAAGAGAAGACGGAGCCATCTGGAGGCTGGGAGATAGCGAACTCCCACACCATCCCAGAGACCTCACTCTCATCTGCTGCAGTGGCAGAGAAGAGCAAAATAGAGTGCCAACACTTTCATTATGTTAACTTCAGAATGAATTTATTCACATTCACTGCATGTAGTTATTGGCTTTGGTAAACACAATGGTTCTGTTGTCCCCACCACTATAGATAACTGTGATTGCTCAGTCTAAACATAGCTGTCCTTTTATTAATGATTTAAAAACGGAATAACTATTTAAGATATCAAGTAAGAATACATCTTTGCGTTACCATTTAAAACAATGTCACTCATTCTACATTTCGATGTAACTTATAGAACTGCTCCCATAACAATAACCACACAAACAATGTACATTTCTACTGAAATCCTATATACTCAGTAGGGGGAAATAAGCATCACTAGTCTCTGGAGTTGCACCCACCCAAATAATCTTTATGTGTATGTCCTTCATGGATGAAAGTGAGGGCAATCAAGACTTTACTTGCTTCAATCCGAGGTGGTTGAAATATTTGACACACTCTAAATCTACTGCAGATATAAAATACAAAATAAACCAATGGTGAATTTTAGGCCCATTCCTTTTTATATCCTTTTAATCCACCTTGACTACATCTTTCAAAACAAAGAAAATATTGGCAAAATGGATTCCCAGCTTGTGAATAACCTTGTCCACACTCCTATAATGCACATTGTTGACTCCTCCAGCATGCTATTTCGTGCCAGCCACAATGGATTTAGCTGGGGATAATGCTTTTGTCAGTATCTTTTATCTATTCCTTCACTCAGGTACGCTATGCCGTTATCCGTAATTACCCCCACTGCATTTTACACTTGGCCCAGAATTCTTAATGCTTGATAACAGATGCAGGTCGATTTGAAATTTACTTATAACGGTATTATCTTTTTGACCCGCATCGCAGACTGACTGTCCCAAAGGCTCTCGGGTGAAAGCTGTTAACTCTGTGATAACAACGACCCGGAGTGATAACCTTCCAGCAGTCTCGAGGACACACAGTTTGCTACATATGTGCTGTATTGCAGTCGCAGCATTTCTTATTCAACCTTGGGTGCTGCTCGGCTGTGCTCTGATTCATTTAATGGGATCGAGAGGGAGGTTAATCACTGTGTCCGCCTTACACTGTTAAATTCTGGCTGACCATTATATGAAATATTACGATTTGTATTCTTTTGAAAGACGAATTTGAACGCTGATTCCAAGGAAGTGAACTTTCTTTTTCTCGCTCCTTTTGAAGCTGAAACAGAATTATCCCCAGTTAAGAGTCACTTTGATTAATTTACTTCAGGAGGCAGACATCTGCGTGTGCAGATTTTCATTAAGATCAACAGTAAAAGCCTCAGACAAGGTTCCACTTGTCTAAGTTATTATCCCCAGAAGCCGTGGTTGATTAAGTGGAAAAAGCTCCCTAACTATTTAAATTAAACAATTCTCTGGAAGGTTTATTTTGTGTTTAATGTTTACGACAACTTTGTAAGAAGTATATGTCGAAATCTTTAATGCATAAAATTCAATACGGGTGCTGCCAGCTGTATTTTCTCGCGCTGTGCATTCTGCTTGGAGTTACATTTGATCCAATTGCCATAGATGACGGAGCATTCAGTTAAGCTTCAGCAATCACTCAGCAGTACTTTTTTTATCTAAATAGTGTGAAAATCCAGAGGCAATGCATCAAAACTCTGCAACCATTTAATTGATAATGTCAGTCAACTAACTTTGTAATGTTGCTGTGAAAACTTAGGACCACATTGTTTATTATTTGTCTTTCTTTATAGCGGAAGGTGTATACTGTACTATACAATAGATATGGTGGGCGGGTAGGCCTATTCACAGAAAGGAAGAGGAGTATATTGTGTTGCCTTGGTTTCATATATTTTGCAGGAACAGTGTAGTGCGAAACTCTGTCAAGCCTAGTTTTAATCCTTTTCTCCACTGTGTTGTGGGACGTTATGTTGTTATCTTAATGATAATCTCTGCCTGTATTTCTTCCCGAGGCATTTCTGTCAGGCCGGGTTGGTTTAGGAGCCCTGCCTTATCAACAGCTTTGTCATTAAATCAGCTTTTTCTACAGACAAATTTCACTGCTGTTATTCTTATCAAATGATCAGCACTCTGTGATTTTCTGTTCAATCAGAGCATTGCGAATTCCATGATGTGCGAGTAAGAAAGATTAAATACAAAACAACATATCCATTGGAAAAAAAAAACAATTTATTGAATTCTGTTTTCATAAGAGTTAATATATCCGACAAATAAAATTGTTTTGCATTTGTCATTCCATCAATGGCTTTTAGCTTTTGTATTTTATATACTTATATATATCTTGTGTATTTTTAAAAGCTACACTTAAGCATGTAGGAATAAGAATGATTGCAACATGGAGCTAACAAAAACGTTTAGTTTACTGCAAGCAGGAATCTGGAACCTGTGCGATTCATGGCTTCTTCTTTTGTTGGTGTGAAATGGGAATGGGTCAATCTGTGAGAGATTTGATAACACGGTAGCACACATCACTATTATGTGGATGTGAGAGCCCATGTTGGACGTGCTTGGAAACACATCCCTTAAATGCTGTGTGTACAGAGGCAAGCTTTCGAGTCCCAGTCAAACTGACCTCTGGAGGCTGGAGGTGGTACTCAGTTCTTCTGAGAAAGCACTGTTCTGTCTGAGTGAGTGTTCTGATTGTCTCAGCATTGTGCTTGAATGGAGGGCAGCGCCAAATGAACTCCTCTGATACAATCCTCCTCTCCACTGTTTGACACCGGTTCAGCCAGTCAGTGAGGAGCGTGGACTGAGACTCCTTCCCCCAAACACACTCTCTTACAGTGAGGGAAACTGCTGTATGGCAAAGGTCCAAGAGTTCTCTTGCATGGTGTCTGCGGGGCAGATTCAACACCCTCTCTCTCCTCCCACAATGCACTGAGAGCCTCTGGAGGCTGATACCCCGGCTCCTGGGGATCCAGCGGGTCTTTGGAAAGAAGGATGCTGATGGAGGGCACGGTCCTGTGCACGGTCATCTCCGATGCCCCCCCCTCGCTGCTCTCCCACACCTCTTTCACCACCTTGTATTGCAGTTTGGTCAGCTGGTGCAGAGAGCCCACTTTTCGTTTCATGATTTCAGCACAAGTGATGGTCTTTGTGACGGCGCGGCCTGACCCAGTGAAGACCACCTGCCTGAGCCCCCCACCGCTCACACCTCCCCCACTTATGCCCTTCTCTCCCTGCATTCGTGCCATGGCAAATCCCATTAAGTTGCGGATCTTACTTCCCTCCTTCACGCGCATCTCCAGCACCCCAGAGGCCAGCCCTGGGAACGGGCAGGGGCTATCCTCCTCAGTTCGGCAGACTTTCTTAAACCCCTCCTGTCCTAGTTTGAGTGCAGGGGGAGGGACTGGCAGTGGCACTGGTTTCAGCGGGATGGAAACATTGTTGATCGCCGCTGGCTGGACGACGTTGCTATAAGTCTGGTTATGGTAGACGGGGAAGCTCCCTGAAGGTAACCCATGCTCAATTTGGATCGGTCGGCTCACCTCTAGTCCGGGAAGGGGCCTGACAGCGTCTCGGATCAGGTACTGGTTCTGGCCAGTGATCATTCCACACCCGGTGAACATGTCTTCTGTCTTCAATGCTCCACCGCAATGTTAGTCCAGAAACACACTCGCCCCACATGGAAAACAGGTCGTCATAATTTTCTTATGCATGTAGCACTTTCCTCTCCCTCCAGTCAACAGCTGTAAAGTTTCAAGACTTCACATAAGAATTATTAACCGCTCCCCAAGAGCACTATCAATGAAGTCTTTAAAGCTCCCTCTCAGAAAGAGCTGGAGAAATAAGATAAACGCCCGGCTGCTGAATCAAGAGCACTGTCGGGACCATTGAAGATGTTCTTTAAAGAGTATCTCAATTTCATACCATACGTTTAAAATTGTCCCGGAGAGATTAAAAAAAAGAAATTGATAAATTATTCTCTATCCGTCGTTTGTATATATTTCAGATGGTTATTTGATCCTTATAGTCACATGGAGTACTTTGTTGATTCTTCTTTAAGAAAACTTTTCTAAAGAAAAACTAAAAGCTCAAATTAAGACTCCACCTTTTTCTTAGTGATCCGGTCCAGCGCTGTTGATTTTTATCAGATCATCATGTCGCATTTAACTCAAAATTGACTTCTCGTCCAGCTGTTAAAGTCCACCTCCTGTTTTGAACCTCTGCTTGTTTTACTCCAGCTTGAGTTGGTGTGCGTCTCCTCTCCTTGTTCTCTTCTTGGCATCCACAGTAGAGGCCAGGGTTGCTTGGAGGTCTGCACCTGGGCTGTCCTCCCTAGAGCTCTGTCTTGTCTCCAGTGATGCTCTGGGAAGTCTGCTCTGTTCCCCACAAAGAGACATAAGGGACAGGAGCTGCCTCACAAATGCTCACAGGAGGAGTGTCTGTGTGGTTGAGGGGGAGCATGAGGGAAAGGGGGAGACAGCCCTCTTAAAGGCGCAGGTCTTTTCATCTTTTAGATGAACACCCTCCCCTCCTCGACTGAAGCCTGCCGTCTGAGGAAAAAGAGAAGTGCAGGCTTACTTTGTCCCTTTAAAACCTAGAACGCAGATCCCCGGCAACTTTGTCAATCTCTTTAGAGGACGTTCCAGTGTTCAATGTACATGACTGATTAAACCTGAGTTCTGAAATAGAGATTCAGTCAAGCTTTAAAAATGCATTTTCAGCTACGAAACAATGAATTAAATTAGCTCTGTTATAATTGAAAACATCATTCAAACAGCCACTGAAAGTCACCAGCATTAAATTGCACTGTACTTAGCCTTTATCCTATTAGATGTTTGTGACTATTACGATTCACATAATGCAGCATTAATAGCTTCATTATTGAGGCAATCAAGTGGCGCGGTATGAATGCCTGTCTCTCAACGCTTGAATTGTTATATTGTCACAAGGGCTGGAGAGCCCTTGTGATCAAGGACACCAGGACCACCAAACGCACAGAGGCGTGACTTCCATGTTTAAGGTGCTGTATTAAAAGTGACTGTCTTCATTAGGCTGCCGTATCTGTGCAGGTGAGGACATGGGGCTGACAGGTGGGGTAATAAGCATCTTAATAGGCTTTCCATCACCAGTGGAGGGCGCTGGCCCGCTCCATCCTGCACCGAGTCGGGCCCAGACAGCTGTGGCTTCGCCCCGTTCAGCCCAGTCTCCCGGCCGACAGGTGGATTTGTTTTTGTGTGTGACTGACAGATGGGAGAATAGGTAAAGACAACCCACTGAGGCTGAACCTATGAGGCCGAGAGAGAGAGGCAGACAGTCCTAACTACTCTCCGCTCAGTATATCTCTCGCTGCACAGTTGTACACAGACAGTACAAACTCACTGTGGCTCAGCCCAGTCCTTACTGTGAGAATAATTCCCACTGGCATGTGTATTATATTGGATCCCTATGTTAATCAAGGAACAAATAAGTAAAAAGCCCCCACATGTCCTCGATCCAGCTGGCATCAGGGAGAACTGGATTTTAAAGTATTTTATTAACAGAGTTGGACCGGGTATCGGCTCGGCAGAATCAATAGATTGATTTGATCCGTGGAATGATTAATTATCTTTTTTTTAAATTTGTATGTATGGGATGCAGAAGCCATTTATCTCCAGAGCCATTCCAGACACTGCAGGAGACGTAGTGACAAATATCTGTCTTTTTCTTGTGTTTTTTGTTAGCTAAAAAAAAAAACGGGAGAAAAGGAAGATGGGGGGAGAGGGGAGGGTCTGTAGCGCACACCACCAAAGTGATCATTCTGTTGTTTGGGAGAAATTACCCTCATCAGTCATACAGAGATGCACAGCTGCCTAAGGGGGTCTGGTAATGTTACTGCATAATAAAGTGTGTTTGTGTGTGTGCATGTGTGTGTTCAGAGTTACAGCGAGAGTGAACGAGCAGGAAATGCAGGGGGTTAAAAAAGTCTGATTTAACCACAGAGAGGTTAAGATTTATGATAATGGCTGCTCTGTAATCATCCCTCCTTACGCTGTGATGTTGTCACATCATTTATTGCTTCTCAGTTTATCTCCAGGAATAAGTGAATGCTGGAGGGATTGAGTGAAATGTCTACCAAACTTTTTGCGTCTCCATCACAGACAAAACTATTCTCCAGATGGCTAAATTAAACCATCAGTGCTTTTCAGAAGTGCCGTGTGTTGACCTTTTCTGAGCAGAGCCTTTTTCCTTTAAGTGGCTTCATTTAATGATGGGTACAGGCAGCGGCGCTCATGCCTGGACACTCACTCCTTCACACCTCCTCCACAGAGATGGCCTCTGCTCCTGTAGCTCTCTAAGCACTTACTCCTCACTTCATCCGACCTTGGCTGGCATCTGTGACAATCTTGGCATTCTCTCCCGCACACTAGCTTCCCTGTTTTCCCTCGATAACCACCTCTCGGCTTTCACTTCTGCCCACCAGAATTGAAGTAAAGAAAACCCATTTATTTCTGTAAGACTGTGACAAATACGTAGCAGAGGTTGTGTCTTGCTCCTCTCCCTATGTACTTTAGATGTCTGAAGTGGTTGTTGTTGTTGTTATGAATTGTAGGGCTGTCCTGTCTTTGTTGTTTGTTGCAGCACTGCAGAGCCTCTCTGTGTAGGGGCTCGTTGTGCTGTTGTCAGGGCTGCACATAAGCGCCGTGCCTCGCTGTGACAGCCGGTCGCTCACTTTACGTTAACCGCAAGTGTTTTCACGGTCATCAACCAATGGTGGCCTGGAGGCTGTCATTTCACTCCGTGTGGAGCATGCCCGCGGCTCGGTTCTGCCCCACAAACTCACAGCCGGCCCTGGTGGGGGGATAGAGCAACACACATGTATGCATATGCACACACTTAGAAAGACGCACATGCCTACTGGATGGGCACGCACACGCACACGCACACGCACACACACACCGAAAAACGATATGCTCAGCATAAGGCAGGCTGTTGGAGCAATTACAGAAACATGGCAGAACACGATGAAGCAGGCCCTGCTATCAGAAGGGAAATAGAGTGAGCAGAGGAAAATGATGACGCCATTAATAACAGGGAGGCTCGAGCCTGGGAGGGAGGTGGGGGTGGGTGACCCTCTCTGTGATTTCCCTGTGACAGCACTTTGAGGTACAAATGGTTGTTTGTATTAGATTTTTGGACGTCTAAATGGGTATGTTTTTTCTGTCAAATGTACAAAAATACAACGGTGGTGTAATATAGCAAATGATGCGTGAAGTGATGTTATCCCGTCACTCATGCATCCATTACTCCTGGAAATGACAGGTCAGACCTCTTCTGTCTCAAGCCAGTCGTCACATGTCTTCCTCTCCACTCGCTGCTTTCCCTTTGGCACTGCAATGCAGATGTGTCTCACACAGTGGCGGGAAACTTTCACTGAAGATGCTTGTGAAAAAAGGGACATGAGAGAGGGGCGAAGGGCATACAAGAGGAGTCGGGGGGAAATATGCAACACTACCAGAAGTGATATGGAGAAAAAAGTGTTTTGTACTTGGAAGCACAGAGCAAGAATGTGAATAAGTGGGAGCATACGGTAGGGAGAAGTCAGACATGGCAACTCTTGATTTATGAGGCCTGTCAATGAAAAGGCTGTCTTTAGCTTCATCACCTTTATAGCTTTGCAAAGCTATCACACCAAACTGTTTTAATGTATTTTGAAGTCTCACCATGATATTAAAGTTTGCCTTTTTTTGTTCAAAGTGTAATTGAACAGGGTGGAGCTGAACCCTGTTGATGCATGCTTTTAGTTCTATTATTTTACACAGTTTGATTAACAGCACTGTCTCTTATTTAAATTGGCAGCAGCTGATAATCACATTTGTGTTAAGTGTGTCTGTTTTGTCTGGCCTCAGGCTAAAAGTTAATGGACTTTAAAAAACATTTTTGATCAATTATGTCAAGACTTAATGAAACAAATGCAAAAAAAGTAAATGAATGCCTTGGAGCAAGCATTAGTTAATTCTCTACCGTTCAATTTTGGGAACATAATGCTGTTTGTCATAACGAGTAGAACAGGATATTAAAATAGTAAGCATCAAAATCCAAGCTGATGTCGTTGGTGATGCCATGTGTTTATGGAATCTGTAAAGTACCATTATAGTGATTTTGCATGATTAACTAAATACTAAATAACAGCTTTTCTTCAATCTTTGTCTGTGTTCTCTGTATAGGTATTTCAGTTGTGTGACCCTGAACATGACATTTACATAATAAAAAAACCTCATTTTTGAAACCGTTTGCAGATGCCTTTTCCCCATTTTGTACAGTAATAGCCATTCAATGTGAATCCATCTTTTCATACTAGTTTCCATTCTTTCTAGCAGAGTCAGCTTTTTCCTGTGTCATATTCAAATTGCCTACATGGCCTCAAGGGATTCAAAGTAAACAATGCATGCATATTCTCAAATATTGCTGTTTATAATTGTATCTCCTTGGATGGAAGTCTCCCTGTTTACAGATTACTCTCATGCAGCCTTATCAGAGTTGTATTTGTTACCCCTAATGCAAAGTGAACATTTTGTTAATGCTGCTGGATTACCATGTGTCTCCAAGGTTAGCGGTTCTTTTTCAGCAGTGCTACTGTTCACTGTACCAACAATATATGGACCGTTTTGCAAGGCAAGGTAAGCTCTATAAAAGCAAATGATGTCTGTGACTGACTGACTGACTGACTGGGTCATTATGTGGGGGATGATGTTACGCCATTGGCCTTGAGTTTTGTATTTTAAACAAACGTCATTTATTCCCCTTTGCTTATGATATGAAAAATTGATTTCCTGTAGCCGGATTTTGCAGAACATGCCGTGTTTTTAAATATCCACTTTATAATCTACGCTTATTTTCTTGTCTTCTATTTGAGCTTTGGATATTATTTTCCCTGAAACCAATTTATTGACTCATTTAAATCTGCTTCCTTTGGGTCCCAAACCAGCCTTTTAACAACACTGCACTGGATCAGTGGCTTCTGTACAACAAAACGAGACGAAATAGGTTGTGGCTCTCTGTTCCCCCCAGTCTCACATAAACACCTTCCTGTCACTGCGTTTCCAGATGGCCACGCTCCTCTGTATCCCACAGTTCATAGCTCTAAACTTCCTAGCGCACACATTTGCATCGGGTCACTGCTCACTCCGACACGCTAGAGGAAGAGGAGCACTAATCCTACCCAGCATGCCTCCCTGGAAATGCTCTCTATGCAAATGTTTTTTTTTTTTTTTTTGGGATCCACAGTGAGAGTGGTTTGATGGCATGCCTGCGTGCATCCTGTAGGGATGTTGTAACAGACGTGTGGCTATGGCTCAGTAGGTGTGGCTCTTCTGGCAAATGACCTCCTTAACAGAGTTGTTTCAGGTTTTTTTTTTGGCTGGTGACTGGTTGTTAGAAAACATAGCAGTGAACT